CTTAAGCTCACTTTAATGAATATAGACTAGACAAGTGCATGTGATAGAGTAGAAGTGATATTTACTATACATTTTAACCAGTCACAGAAACAGGAACTGGCCAAAAAAATAGACTCCACCTATTCAGATGCATAGAAAAAGACCCTCAACCACATGAGCTCATGAGTTTCACCGTGAAAAGACAGTAGCAGTGGACACTATAATTAACACCAAGCTGAACGACGCCTCAAGGACCAGGATGCTGAGACTTTATCTTAATTTAATGCTCGGTAAATTCAACATTTTTATCAATACATTTGGCTTGTTTTTAAGATTAAGAACAACTTTAAAAAAAAATACATATCACAATTAATCTTTGCCAGTTGATTGCTGATATATATTTTTTTAATTTTTGCATATTTATGCAAATGAGGTTTGTTTAATTATGCATACATTAATATACCAAATAAATAAACCAATAAAGTCTTAGTCTTTGTATTATGTTAGAATTCAAATATTTATTTTACTGTGAAGACAGAGAAAGACATTTTCTGTGCATGTTTGCTTAATCTTACAAAAATCGTGTTTACATAAACGTTTACATAAATCCAATACAATAATGATCAACATTTTGGGAAAATATCTTTCCAAATAGGAACAGGAATGACCATTTCATGAAGCTAGAAACTGAGAATTCTCAATTCTGAAACTGAGATCCTGAATATATAAAAAAAAATGATTTAGCAAAAAAAGTTTTAAAAATATGATGGAGTGTCATGTGTTTCCACTCTAGCTGGTGTGAGATATAATAAAGGGGATATATATGTCTTTTATTATGACATAATTTGACACATAATTTAATGTTTTTATTACAACATTGCTGTTGATAATTTAATATTTTTATAACAGCTGCAGTTGATGCAAAAATTGTCATTTCTACCTGTAGTGTCTTGCCTTAAGTATATACAGTACATACTGTATGTTTGTATACAGTAGATATGTCTGGATTTTTAATTGTTCACAAATTTCTATATAGAAATGACACATCGATCTATACATATATATATATATACACACATATGTATGTATGTATTTTTTACAGTAATTTTATTTCAAATCCATCGTGGTGGTATTTAAAGGCAAAGTCACAAAAACTTCATCATTGTCCAAATGCTTCCGGACCTGACTATATATATGTATGTATGTATATATGTGTGTGTATATATATATATATATATATATATATATATA